CGTGGATTCTTCGGCAGAATGAAGTTGCCATAGCGTTCATGTTCCATAGTCCCAAGTTTTCTCAGGAGTATTCTGACTTTTGAAGCATCATCCAATTTGCAAAGATCAATATAGAACAAATGTTCATACTTCTTAAACCACGACTCAAAAGTTATACCTGCTACACCATCAAAATTAAATTCATTGATGGCTTTAATGACTGAATCAGTATGTGATACCTGTGATTCACTGGAAGCAGGTTTTCTCTCGGACAGGCAGAATTTCTGCATCAGGGTTTCCATGATTCTAATTTGTGACTCTTCAAACCTCTTTTCTTGACGCACCATATAGGCTTCTAATTGCTCCAAGGAAATATTCATTGTAGTTTTCATCCCCATCGCCACTGATAAGTCTTATCGATTGAACGCTATATTAGTTTCCTAAGCTATTCTGGTACCCCGAAAGCTAGAACTGCACAGCGACTTGAACACCAGAGAGAAGACGCAAGTGTGAAGGAAAATACTTTACTCCGAGGTTCATTTTATTACAGAAAATATAGGGTTTTTATAATATATCTAAATGTCCCTGGGTCTCTGGAATATTCTTGAATGCCAATCAATCAGGGCTTCCGCATATTTCTGGCCAAGACTCCAAATGAACGCTGATTGGACGAAACACTCCTTAGTGTTTCTTGATGCCTGCTTGTCTTTTGAAAGCGATTTCTGGATCACCCCGACAGATTCCCAGTTTGTACGATAATTCAGATAATTCAAACTATCAGAGTATTTTGTGTGACAGCAGACCGCCTCATCATTTCTACTTTTGGTATATGATTATGTGATATTTATGTTAATTGATTATTCGTTTACACTTGATTGCGCATATACTACGAAATCCAAATATCATACGTCCAGTTGAGCTCATCTAGTTTTACTTGCCTTATATTGCATCATTACTGAGATTCTTAAATGGCGAACCAATCTGAATATTTCTGATTATCATATGTAACTCGGCAGAAGAGATACTATGCTGCTATTTACACTCTATTCTTAACCACTGTTCTTAAACCCTAGAAGCTATGTTCACTATCTTATACGGACAGAGCCAACCTGGTTTTCTTTACAGCGGTTATGCCCTGCTCATGTAAGCCTGTCGACACCATCCTCTAAACAATTTATGAACAAAAACCCTAACCAGTACTCGAAAAGGTAGAAAAATTGGGTGATGAGCTTATTAGTTTCTCTCAGCAATATTATGGAGGTACCTTGGATTAAGTCAGATGCCTTACAGATAGACACAGAAAGCAATAGTGATGGAGATAAAAGCTCACTTGACCATATGCAGCAGTATAGCAACACGAGACTTCTACACTGACTATTTTCATCGGAAGAAGCTCTCCGAATCGATCCATCTTGTGACACTTACGATTTCTGCCATGTAGCCTTCGGCCACTACAGGCGGTCAGGACCAGAGTTGGATAATTTCTGGTTAGCGTTTTCTTAGTTTTCTACGGGATGATGTAGCTAACCCCATGCCCAACTACCTTCGTTATCCGGGATTGGGACTGGCAGTAGCCCCAGAGGAGTGCCAGGCGGAGTTAGGACCAGAGTTACTTACCAATATATTTTGCTGTCCCATCTGGAGTTAAGTACAGTTCATCACCAGACGTTATCAGACAGAAATCAAAACCCACTGGTTTTCAGTTAGTAAATAGTCTTCTAACAGCTTGCCGTGTCCGGTGATGTGGTTATCCACACGGTTGAGGTTATATACGACGTTTCTGATGTCCGAAACGTGCATCATTTTTAACCCTTTCTTATCGATTGCCGTTGATAAATGTTGCACACTACGGCATATTTTTATGGAACGTTCGATTCCTGACGAAGGAAGAATAAAAAATCTGAAATGAAACACACCTGAACATCATGTGTAGGGAAATCTGTTGGGAACTAAGACCTGATAGTGCCTTCATAGAATGCTTGAAACTCCTGTGTTCAACTACAAACGGAATCGTTTCTGAATTTTTATTGAAATATACATGTCGCCAATCCTCGCATATTATTATCGACTTAACTCGCGCTAATAAATAATAAAATTAAATAGGTCAAATGAGAGAATGGATTTTTGAATAAGTATATTTTGTACAAACATTGATCGGAAAGAGAAACAAAACAGAATGAAGCACAATGAGGAAGACATGTTATTCAACTTGATTTAACCAAGCGTCAATCGATATTTTTAGTCAGAAAAAATAAGTCACAAACATGTGATGACTAAGATAAGAAATGAGCACACATACGCTTACACAAAAAGCCAAGGTTGATAAGCGAGTAAGTGACAGTGTAAAAATGTGGCTTGAGAAGAATGAATAAATTGGCCCGTTTGAATGTTAGAATAAATTGTGTATTTGACATGGCAACCGACACTACAATATTAAATTGTCTCGATTGCTGAGGTTTAAAAATTGTTTGTAAATAATAAAGTACGTATTTGGGTGGGTGTTCAATATGATCTACAAGCTACATGAGGTTTAGGAAGAAAGATTCATATTTTGAAAGTTCTTTGGTTGTAGAAATAAGTAATAGTATCTCTCAACCTATCTAAGCATTGGTGAAGCTACCATTCAATGGCAATCTTGATGTAGTACGCCTCGCCCTCAAGACCGGTATCCATGATAAATGTCGTAGTCGTCAAGACTCTGCAAAGGTAGTAAGTGGGCTTCTGAACTAATCCTCCGCAGGTTAAGGAAGGTGTGGTCCCTTAACATGACAATGCTTTGACAGAACGAGATCGTTGGTTTATCATTGGTAGACTTTGAGCTGACTACGGACTGAACTTTATTCTCAGCAAGGCTTTCTACAAAGTCCTCGATATCGGATTACAGTTTTCTGTTAAATATAACCATAAGGAAGAATTTCAGTGACTGTTAAACTGGCTCTAGAAAAAGACAGAAAAGATGTGATACGAATAAATAATGTGATCCGACAAACTCAGAGGATACGACGTCATCGCATGGCGAGTGTATTTTCCAATCTGTATGCTAGTTCGTCGGTTATTAGGTTGAAAGCATTGGATCAGCGATTACCAAAATTTCAAATCAAAACTATTTAACAGTTTGGAAATATCTATTTTCACATCTGTATGCCTTGATCGAAATGGTAATAGGTGGCATTATATTCTTCCACGAACGCATACATAAAGCTACACGGGTCTCACCGGATCACACTACATAAAATCAAACCGATCATGGTCGCACCAAAATAAACTCAGAAAGATCATGGCAGACGTGAGAATGGGGAGAAAAGCTGATGTAGCTTCAAATCACTACCAACTGGTGGTTGCCAAGATGAAGCTGAAACTGAAGAAACACTGGACAGCTGAGGAGACAGCATTACCAAGGTTCGGTATATCCTTCCTTCAACATACTGAAAAACTCAATCAATCCAAGATAACTCTCGACAACAGGTTTCAAGCCCTACAAAATCTAATCAAAAAAGAAGAAACTACTATGGAGGAGAACTTAAAAAGGACCAAAAAACCACTAGCTTTAACATGTCAGGAGGTTCTGGGCCTCAACAACCAACATCATAAGGTACGGATCACTATCAAAACCCCGGACAAAGAAACAAGAAAGGAAGAACAAGAAAACAGCAACTAACAACAGGAGAACAAGAGAAGAGAAAGTAAAGAAACAAGCTGAATACACAGAAGCAAACAAGCAAGTGAAAAGGAGTATTAGGACCAACAAGCAGAATTACGTGGAAGGGCTAGCAATGACAGCGGAGGAAGCTACAAGACGAAATATGAGACAACGATATGACATAACAAAGGAGCTGTCAAAGAAACGGAGTAAATCAGAGACTGGTCAAAAACAAGGAAGGCAAGCCAATGACTGAGATAGGGAAACAGAGAAACGGGTGGGTAGAATACTTTGAGAAATCTTTGAATAGACCGACTCCATTAAATCCACCAGACATCGAGGCAGCACCTATAGATCTTCCTATGGATGTTACTCCACCAACTATTGGAGATATCAGGATGGTCATCAGACAAACCAAGAGCGGTAAAGCAGAGGAATCTGACAATATACCAGCTGAAACACTAAAGTCAGACTCAGAAGTAACTTCAAAGATGCTCCATTTTCCATTCAAGAAAACTTATTTCATATTGCCATTCAGTGTTTGCTTACTTCTATTCGTTTTACACTTTAGGGTCAATGGGTCCCAGTCAAATCATTTTGCATTCGGGCCACTGGATGTCGAATAGTTCAACGTTCCTTGTCAAGTTCAAGGACAACCAATGAGCGTCAATCCATCACATGTCATGTACTGGCCCATGTGGTGGTAGTCGCAATATCCCTCTTGTGCCCACTTTTACAAATACATTTCTGTAATATTGTCCTTTGTGTTGTATGATCTTCAAGGCAGACATAGTATCTTGATACGACGAAGGGGTAATCCACGTTAGGTGCTGACCGCGTGGTGTGGCTTTGGAGTTAGTTGTTGGTCACACCATTTATGTCTAACTCGGGTATGTCCCAGTCACTCGACATAGATCATCTACTTTACTGATCTGCAAAATGTTTTCTTATTCCAACTAAGCTCTTATTCAGGTCACTACAAATCTGGTGAGCCTGACGTATCCCGAACGAGAAGCCTTATAGGCGTTCAAATAATTAATGCCTACATCAACACTAGATTTATGCATTAATTGTCACTAGAAAGATATTAGAAGTAATAAATGTTTGGCGAGTGAAGCATATCCACCCGTGGTACAAACAAACAACAAATATTCAGTATGAATTTGATTACTTATGTAAAGTCACACAAAATGGAAAGAAATTGTATTTTATTGCAGTTACAAAAACTACCTAATACACTTGGCATCAAATTTCTTTATACAGTGTTAACTGTCTCTTATAACTCAAATGCAGATCTGAGTCCACTGACCTTTCTGTCCAATAGAATTTGAGCATTGCTTTTGTTTGGATTCCTTAATTGTTTTCTTTTGACCTAGTGGTTGTATAAGTGACCTTGGGCCCTTCATATGGTGTCGAATATCCTGCATTCTAGATTATGGTAATCTTGTCTTATTATTTTATTAACTTTTAAATGCAGGATGAGATGAACAGTTGTGTATTCACAAGATCAGTGGATCGCAGCGAAGACGACTCACCCCCTGTGTGTTTGGTAGAACTTATAAATTCCAAAACCAAAGTAAGCAATCGATACTTCCTTTCTGACAATAAAGGTTACTGAAACTCATGAATCTACCGAACTCTCTAGTGGTAAATCAAATATAACCTTGCAAGAAAACTCGGGTAGTAGCTGTAAAGTCGAGGAAATTTGCCCAATTAAATCTGGCTCCTCATCAATTTCGTTTCACGACTTAAAGTCTGAATCTCCTTTACCAGTACGTTTTTGTGTCTATTAAAATAAAATAAAAATACAAACAAGTAGTGAATTCCTGAACATTGAGTTTTCATACTGTACTATATATGTGAACAAGTACATTATACACCGGCGTTATTAATTCCATCTTTCCTTTCCCCAAGTCCCTCCATATGATAAAACATTCTAGCACATTGGTCCTAATATTTCGCCCCTTAAAATCGACGAGCCTTCCACTTTCGTTGTCGCAGGTGCATAACCTTATTGCCTCCATAGTTGTACTTGAAGGATAGACGACCGGTATAGGTTCTATGAATTTTCTACTTTGTCTTTTATCTGGGATAATACCTCTTAGTGCAGTGGCCTTTGAAACGAAAGTATATTTGTAGGATAATAGTGGCTGTTCATGGGTGCTTTTAACGTGTTATTCGTTTATATTGGAGCAGGGTCGAGTACCTGTTGAGGGTCCGGAATCGGCCGATGAGACTGAACCTTTATCAAGCGAAGTGTTTGGGATGTGTATGACACCCAATCGTGCCACTAATTGTGCGAATTCTCTCCTTTCGAATCGTACTGTTAACGTCTTGTCTTTTTACTGTCTCTGGTTCTAATGCTACTTTGATAGTCGTTTTCTGTTCATATGGAGTTGACGACAAATAGTTTTCAAAGTATGAGTTAATCCTGCAAACAACTCTGAATTAAGTAAACAGATTAGTTGATTAGTCAACATTTATCAGTTATCTCAAGTTAATATTTGTAACTGTGTTCATTTCATTCCCGTAAAACCTTTAAGTGTGTTTCTTTTTAAATGTCAGTGAGTTTTGGTCATAGCCAATGAACTTTGCTTCATGGGAGTGAACAGACTAATAAATGAACCTAATGACAACTACATGAGGACACTTGATTTTTGCGTATACAGAAAACAGTGTGATGGTCATAAAAGTTAGTCACAGTTTGGTTTCGACACTTATTTTTCTAATCGTTCTAGACGATAATACAAGGAGTTGGTAAATGTAAAGTTAACTAAGTTATAGTGTGAGCGCTTGGCTATGTGACTAACCTAAGATCCGTAATACATTATCTAAGTCTTTTCAGAAACGCATGTTCATATCAAAACTTATGTATTGTTTCTCATCACTCGTTTGTAGGGAGTCGCATTTTTCAGAAGCCTATCTAGTTTCTAGCCATATGCTTGTTTCATATATATATATATATATATATATATATATATATATATATATATATATCCGTCTTTCCGTTCAGTTTCGTAAATGAGTTAATTTAATTGGTGAAATAAGCAAAAATTCCTATTCCTCCAAGTATGGTATTTTAAATGCATTCGAATTTCACTTTTTATTTGCTCACTCTTTTACTATTAGTTTTACAAACTTAATATTCGTATATTTTAGGCCGTGACATCTTCAGATGACAAAAGTGATAGTTTATCAAATACTCTTTCATCGGAAAATCATCTACCTAGGTCAATTGATCTTGAAAACACTCACATATCAACTAGAAAAGAATCGAGCTCACTTACTTCTAACCACCACGCTAGTAGGGATGGTAATGAATCTCTAACTGGGGAATATTATTTACAATCTAAAGCGAAAATGTCTACATGTGATCTCGAGGCGGAAGATGAAGATGACGTGGACCTCGAAGATCGACCATTAACCGTCGATACTCAAGAATCTGATGAAGTATTACTCAATGAGTCTTCAAAAAAGACAATTCTCAGTACAAACAACCCCGTATGCACTATATCTCGTAAGTGAACAGTGCGACGAATACTGTCGTGTGTATATTAGTATTTGATAACGCCCCAAAGTCATGTTAATCACATAATCTCACTTGTGAAGAACAGTCTTGTTGTAGACACATCTGGGTGATATGTTCTGTATAATCCACATAGTGAAAGCATTCATGCATCAGAAGATTTTTTGTCTAGTACAGGCTTATGTAATCGGGTTTGAACCATATTGTGTGAGTACTGATGTTACTACTCGCTTCTCAAGACCGTAGCGGTTCGAACCCATTGTCTAGTTGTTCAAAGTTGAACTCTGTAACCACTAAGCCATCGCCACACTTACATAGTGAGTGTAATGCTAAATGCTACTGAAGATATCCAAAGATTTGATACGTCTTAGAGACCCACACTACTCACCATTATTCATTCCTAATGTTCCTTGACGGAAAACGTTTTAGCGTTAGAAGTAGTTTATTGTTGCTGCATTTATATTTTCCTACTTTTTATTACTCCCGAATTTCAGTAATTCTGGAAAGCCGTATGCTCGAAGTGTAAGTCAAAACTGTTAAGTATTGAGAATCAGACTTTGTTATGTATTGGAGTATTCTGCATCATCTTAAAACGTTTATTCCCAGTAGGAAATATAGCGTGCTATAGATCACATGCTTAGATGCTTGATTTCCAACAAACTTTTCGCAAGTTCACAACTTGCTTATCGAAGCAATGGCTTATTAGTCAAGACACTCTAGATCTATAAGTAAAAGGCCTGAACTCCCACCACCTAATTCGGTTTCTTCAGTTGGTAATATTACCAACTTTAACAAAAAAAATATCAGTCAAGACCATACATATCTAATAAGTTACTTTTCAAAGCCAAAAATTAGGTACTTGTGCATTTTTACCTACTTCTACAGTTCACTTCTAACTCATTAGGTAAAGGTTTCAGTCCCCAAATAAAGATACATAACGTCCAAGTATCGTTTTATATTTTTAAGAAATATTATTCTGTGGTCACATTCTAAAGTCGATTGACAGCCTTATTTAAAATTACATTTTTGAAGCCATTGTACCATTTACTATCCTCGAGCTATATTTTCTCGTTGTGTTGATAGTTGTGGCAGGTACATATTATCCGTTTAGCTTTCTATTCAAAGTATTAGGTTTATCACCCGGTTAGATATTATGATAAAAGATGTTTTAGCTCGATGTTACTCCGTCAAAATCAAAGCAGCTCAAGTTTTTTCTATACCTGTCACAATATCGTATGCGCTTAACATTCTTCTACTTGTAATGTTTTCCGTATTTTACCATAATATGTACATTGAATGTATTGTAAATGAATCATTTAGTTATATTTAGGTCGAGACATGTTTATTTAATGTGTATTTTAGATTCAGTGACTGAAGAGAAAGAGGATCCTACCTCCAGTGTTACAACTGCAAGTAAAACGTCATTTGTCGTAATCCACAACACGCCATCCGCCGTTGTATGTTTGTCTTCACCAGCTTCGTCTTGCCAATCTACACTTTCAGTTCAAAACTGCCAATCTACTAGTGTTCCCAACAAAAATTGCTCTTCAGAGGTACATCATACTAGTGCTCCTGTTGCTTTAGCAACTGTGGCTCCTATAAGAATGTCATCTGTGGGGCCTGATTATAGCCTTTCGTAAGTTCTTAGCATTTAGTTGAGTTAATTAAATAATTGGAAATATTGAGTTTGTTTCATCGATCATTTGTACATACATAGTCGATAGTCACTGAGATCAATAGCGCTATTAAACGACACGATTGTATTTGTACTAAATTGTGGCGAAATGGTTTGGTGTCAACTGTGGGCGGTCTGTAGTTAGATACTACTTAGTGTGATAATATAAATTAGATGTTTGTTTACAAGTCTCTGGTTTTAGAGTTGTGCTCATCACAAATATTCATATGTCCACTGACTATGTATAGTCTCTATCTAACCAATGCTGCAAATATATTCTAAAACTTAATCTCAGACATATTATGTTCTAACTTTTTTGATACTAATAGATATTCAAATGTAGAATATGTGATTTGTTCTTCGTGAATCGCTCCTACGGAATTACGATCTACTTCACAGTATAAAATGGCAAACTCGGTGATCTTTGTTTATAATCCAGGACCGTTTCCTATGTTTCTCACCATACGATTTCATTGTTTTTATATGTATACTCCTAGAGTTTGTAAACGACACGTTTTTGGGACCAATCGATTCATCATATAAACTAGACACAAAAACAAAATAAATGTTACAGATATATACACTTTGCAAAACTGCTGCGGTGGTTTAGCGTTTAGGGCACTCAACTTTTAATCATTAGGTTGTAGATTCGAATACTACCTCAATTACTTTGGTTTAGGGAGTGGTTAGTGTCACTTCCCTTCACACCAGTATGGTCCAAGGCCATGTACGAAAAATCTGTACTTGATAAATTAGTTATATTAACTTTACACAACTAACTTCATGACTTTCTACAAAGCAGTTTTAGTTCCAGTTTCCTCATTTGCTATTAGTAAGATATTGCTTGCTTGTAGACGTAGAGTACCATTGTAGCTTTAGTAATATATAAAGTCATATTTTATGGTCTATTTACATCAGAACTTGTTTAAATAGTTAATATTCAGTTGTTTATCTGTGTTTACCTTTTTATCATTGTCAGTTAAGTCTCTATTTTTTCAATAACATTCAGAAATGAAATTTTAAGACCTATTAAACCTGCTCCACAAGATACCCAGACAAATACGGTTATAAGCAATCAGGCCACTCCTCAGGCTGTTACATCAATATTTCCTAGCAAGCATGAAATTGTTTTTACAACATCATCTGTATCTTACAATCCGAAATCTAGTCAAAGCGGCACAAATGAAAGACTTAGCTTTCCTTCTGTTAGTATCACCAAACCTGCGTCTATTGGCACAACTTCAGTCACAATTTCTATTGCTCCTACTATTAACTCTTCTGTGATTACTACGCACAGCACGCCAAGTATATTCAATGTTAGAACACGTCCAACGGTCGCTCAGTCAGTACTTCCAGTGTTGTCTGTTGGTCCACAACCAGCTCCATCTATCACCACACAAACTTCTCTTTCATCATTACAATCTCAATCTACCGTACACTTTATGCCTTTTGTCGGTAATATGCCTGTCACAATGCCAGTTTCTGCAACATCTACCGGTTTAAGAAATGTTATAAATCACAACCAGGCTATACCAATTGCTGGTACACCAACTGCACCATGCCCTCCGCTTCAAATTTTCAACATGACACCCATGCCACAATTTATGGGTAGGTTACGATAAAAAACTTTATATTTTTAGTGTATCTTTATTTTCTAAGGATATATGTATATCTACATGCATCAAGCCAGTAAACGAGCTAATCTCCTGAACTTTCGTTGTGATATATCATATTGCTGTTGATTAGAATTAATCTACATGTTGGTGAATTATCGATCCCAGTTTCTTTCATAGCTTCATATATGTATATCTTTTTCGTTACTGTTGTCTCTTTATACTATTCTTTGTATTCTATCTGCGTAATTAGTCATGTCATTTTGATATAAGAACTTGTTAGCCAAATTTGATTCCAAATAGTGTGTTACGAATTCGAATTGTAATTCTTCTCTTTTGAGATGATAAACAGTCATGTGACAATATGTGTAGTTTGAAGCACGACCTATAAATTCTTACCTGATTACTGACCTGCATTAGCCATTATTTCAGTCATGAGAAAAATTTCTTGCCCTTTAGTTTTGTTACTTGGCTTTTAATCGTTATATCTTGGATTAGAATATCTTTTCTTCTGTCAGTCAGTCAGTCAGTCAATCAGTAACAACGTAGAACTTCGTACGTACGTACATCAGTTCGAGTTACCACACCACCTTAGTACAGAGATGCAGTTGTCGATTCAAATCCCGTAGTGGTAGAGGTAGCAAGAGTATAAGCAGTAATAGGGAAGATTAGGGTTTGGAGATGTTATTTAAAGAGTATAATCCAGTGAAATAAATTTGCAAAGAGGAAAAAAGGGACATGGAGAATTCAGAAGATTAGAATCTGGGAGAACACAAAGCTTTTCTCCTGTTGAAGTTGGGATAGTTTATATTTGACTGAAGGAACTTTTTAGAACGTAAGGGTTGTGTCAACATAAGATGACGTTAATTCTGAAGTTAGATCGAACACACAACTCAGTAAGTTCAAATTGTGTTTTTACTCTTTCCGACAAGTGAACCGTATTGTGCCACAAGTTAGTAACCCCATTTATTTAACTGGTGGGTCGCTAGCTAATTTCAGAAAACAGAACTAAACTAGCTCCTACTCAAGAAATATAAAAACCTAAAGATCTTAGTTAAAGGAAGGATATATCGGGTAGACTTATAAACTGTTTTAGTTTAAATAACCCACGATTTTACTGTGTTTAGTTATGCATGGGTCTACCACAACTTATTATTATTATTATTATTATTATTATTATTAATAATTTCTTTCAACCAACATCTAAACGTTTTGTAGTCTAGGTATCCATTTGACATAAAATATCGGTTATATTGCGTCAACCGAAATTGTATATATTTGCAACGTATGGGTACAAATAACAACTGGAAGAGAATTTGGTTGTTTATAGGGACTACACTGTATCCACCTTATAGTCGATTACTAATTAACAGTATGCTTACCATAAGTATTTCCCTTTGTTTACTAGGTACTCCTAGTTATGTGCTACATCCTACTGGGCCAGTTGCGGGTGCAAACAGCTTCCAGTTTCCTCAAGGATCAACACACTTGCTACCTGGATTATCAGGAACTGCGGGAGTCGGTGGGGCAACATTCAATTTTTTACAACCACAAAATTATCCGTCAACCATCTTCCCTCAGCCTCCCACTATACCTGATCTACTCATTGACCCACAAAATCCTATGGGTTTAGGACATTCTGTTTTAACCCCACCTACATCGATCGCTCTCATAAGTGCTATAAATAACCCTAGTTCATCATCCTTCACATCAATTTATCCAACTCTTTTACATCCACCCAACCAAAATTTTTTCCCAACATCATCTACACATTCTGGTCCAGTGTCCTATCCATATTCAACTGCCTTAGCGGCTGGTACAAATTTGGTGAATGCAACTGCACCACAAATGGCTACTTCCTTAGTTCCCGCTGCAGTTACAAACTTTCCAAATATCCATAACTCAAACGAAACAAATTTCATGTTTCAATCTGGACCGCCACATGGTGCTTCTTTCATTTCAAGTAATTTCGCTCCGAATCCGGGACAATTGTTTCCGCCTTGTCAAGTAAGTCGAATGTGTAATTAACCACCCAATTGAATGTAGCTTGTCAACATTACATACCTAAAGTATTAAAGCTCTAGAAAATAATAAAGGTAATCCCCATCATAATTAGTAAGCAAAAACAGTAGATCGTCCATTAGGTGAATTTCGGAATTTTATGCTAGAATATTTGGTTTCTACTTAAAATCGTGGAGCTTTAGCCCAATAGTTTCACTACTACACCATTAAATAACCTATACACAAACCAATTTAGTTGGAGTGGCTAGACAATATCGTTAGCCTTTATAAAATAAATGTGGTGCTGAATCAGTCAACGATGTATGTAATACTACGGCAAAAGTATAGTACTATTTGTTGAAGTCTGGAATTCATGACAATCAAAGTATATACATCGTCGATTTAGTAATGATTACTTCCTTTTGTCATCGTAAAATACTAAAATCTTCCATTGTGTCATTAAAGAGATGTCATGTTTGTCTAAATTATTGACGATTAATATAAATACAAAGCACCCATTTAATACTGGTGTTAGTTCATGAATTTATTGACCATTCGTGTGAGCTTTCCTGTTAGATGCAGACTTGTTAGTTGAAGTTTACGTGATAACAGCAATCAGTGGTTAGAAACTTTTGGTAACTTGGTTCAGAATCAGTCACAGTAGTGCAAAAACAATCACTCTTGATCTCGAACTGTAAATATTTCTTTATATATACCTTTTCATCTTGTTCTGAATCATATTTCCCATGTTTATTCTTATTTATTATCATTGATAATACGATTGTTTTGATCCCTTTGTTATTCATCTTATTAATTTCATCTCTTTGTCTCAGTGTAAAACATGAAAATTTGAGCTAACGCTTGTTTATGTTAGACTATAGATTGATTATGACTGACCGATTCAGTACTGGTTAGTTATCAATCTTTAAGCCGATTATATAAAGTAGTGAAAGCATTTTGAGTATATTTAATTGATTTCAAAGCTAATAACTAATCATTTAAGTATTCAAACTATACACTTAATAACCTATTGATGCACATAAATTCTTTTTCTGAATACTTCGAGGTTTATCAAATAATAGAATTTCAATTGTTATACAAACCTAACTATAGTACTCAACACCATACCACGTATGAGGTGACCTAATATAGTCTGTTCACACTGTTAGTTAGAAAATGCCGTTGATTCGTTTTTTACGGTTTATCTTGTCTATTGGATTCATCAAGCTTTAATTTTATTAAATGTTTACATCTTCCTGTTACATTCTAACAAAATAATGATCCTTGATCCCGTACCTGAGGTATGTTGTTTTTTAACTTCAGAATGATTTGAACCCAACTTGATTTATCAAAGGAAATGTTTAAACAGGAACCGTTCACTTTGTCTATATAGTTAAATAAAATAATCACTATTAGATTCCTTAGATATCTTTAGATAGCTTAAACGAATACTAAAAATTGACACCCACTCTCGAAACACTTACAAACACCGTGACTGTTTTAATTAAACGTAAAATCTTAGTAAGATAAATTCAACGCAATATCTTAGCCTCGAAAAAAAATACCTGGGCATTGAAGTTTTTATTTTTTGTTATTTTTAAACAGACTTTAAATATCCTTATATTTCTACGTCTAGATAACTTTTAACCAAACACCATAATCGCATCCAGTGTATTTTTCCCTGGTTATGCTTTTCTTAAAACTGATTTCTGCTGTGCAAGTTGTAATGTTTGAGTTGTGAACTCATTCAGTCAGTTAGTTATAAAGAAAATAGAGCCTGGGACAAATATGCGTTGGTTCAAGTTCCCCATACCACACTAGCACGGCAAGATGTACATATTAACTCGGTTGAAATAATGTTGTAACATAGATAATGAGAAACACTAAACATTCGGAATAAATAAAGGTATAAAGAAATACTTAGCTCGAAATCTAAGAAAAGATAAAAAAATAAATGCATCTACATCATTATGTTCAACTCTAAGCCTTGTTACTCAACGTCTTTAATAACAGATATTCTATTGTGATGTGCGCTACATATGCGGACATATATAAGTAGTATGTATCAGGAATTGGGAGTACAATCCTTATCAGCAAACAAGTGAAATAAAGAGAAGACGAAGAGCAATCTGAAGAAAGATGAAGTATGTAAAGGACAACTAAAGGAAGATATGCAAATGATGTAATTTAATGTATGATTTTCATATTTTATAAAGACAATGTGTGATTTTGCATAAAAATAGTAAATTGGTTTACCGTACTTGATTTTCCGTTTACTACACTATCGTAATCCATGTATTACATTACTTCAACACTAGTTACTCTATATTTAGTCAGTCGTATATTTTCTATCAAAAATATTTGTCGTGTTTTATAATCCATTTCATTTCTTTTTTTTTCTTTCTTTTTTTAGTTCCCTACATTTCCAAATCTATTTCAAACCAATGATAATTGTTTAACTAATACATTTATCTCATCTAGTTTACCAACTGATTTAACTTCTACTTGTGACACAAAATCATCTTTAAATATTAATGGAAATAGTCTTGGCGGTAATAGTGGTACTTGTTTATCAACTTATTGGCCGTATGTTAGTTCAAATGATCTAATAAATCCAACATCTATTGTTCAAGCCACCAATTCAACTCATCAAACAGATTATTTACAATCTGTTAGTAATAATAGTTTAAATGATCGAAGTAAAATGAACGATGACAATACAGACAATAGTGGTATTTTAAATAATCCTGAAAATATTAATGGTGGGACTGCTACTACTACTACTACCACTATTACCATAAATCCATTAACTCATGTATGTCATCTTGTTTAATGAAATTAGAATTTTAAGTGTGTTATAAATAATTTTACTGGTTATTTTAATCAGTGACTTTTCATTTCAGTTTACTTGCACTATCATTGATGCTCTCTCTATGAATTAATGATCATTGTTAAAGTTATAAATAAACTAAAACCAACAGACCTTAAGAAGTACAGTTTGTTGAATAAAATACTACACAATTGAATGTTCAGAACTGAATTCACCAAGCTAACAACATGGTCCTCTTACATATGTAGGTTCAGTTGTCCTAACTCCTGGAGGCACGATTAGCTTGTCGTCTGGTGATTGCTTTATTTTGATAGGTTATGGATAGATACCAACAGGATGATGACCATCAACCAAGTAATAAGCTATTACAGTGTTAAATCTATGTTTTGATTTTCGTCTCAAATTTTATAAGGTAGACTCGTAATTGCAATTGGGAATCCTTTATTTCTGTTGTTCTGATGCATGTGTTTTAGTGTATACATGTAATGTGATAGATACAAATGCAGATAACGTGAAGTCGAAATGAGTCTACTTGTACTAATCCTATTCCTAATTAATCCAGTTTTTCTAATTACTTAGTGACGTAAATTTCCTATTCCTAGGATGGGCTCTTAGATTTACCTTTCTAGAATATTCACAAATACTATGCATAATTAACGTTTCAAACAATCCCTTCATATCTGTTTTCCTTATTAATCTACATCTATACCACCCCATTCGCCTTAGTTGAATCAAATGAAAAACAAACCGTGAAAACTTTTCATTAGATATTCTGTCGTGTTTCATTTTACTTATTGTACCACCATAGAAAAGGAAATATATTATTTTTTAAAAAGCTATACGAAAGTAAACTGTTGTTTAGGAAAAACATATTCATAATATTATTGCAGTACTAGGTGCTTAATAGATTCAATATAACCAATGGTACAACTAATTCTTAGGTGTATGGACTCAAATAGTTGACCTCTTATTGTTAATCGGTTCTTTGTCGCACGTTTGTATGTAAACTTTAATCAATGAGTATTATATTTATGTAAAGTAATAACTAATAGGGTATTTAAACTCAACAGTATTTGTGATATTTTATGCGAAATCCATATTTTCAAAATGCAAATTGTAAATATCGTGTTAAATTCTACTTAATACTCTAATAGTCACATTTTAATGAACTTCACTTAATTACCTTTATTGCATAATGCTTTTTGTAACTACCGTGTTAAATTCATATACAATGTAGAAATAGATCGAAAGAAAATAAGTAGCGGCCAGATAAAAACGTCATGTTGCTCTTAAATAGTGAAAATAATAATAATAATAATAATAATAATAATAATAATAATAATAATAATAATAATAGCATCAATTCACAGAATTATGATCTGCTGATCTAAGCCATATCGGATTCTTCTACGACCGCGCCACAAGTAATCGAACCGGAAAACTTCATTCTTGTGCATAAATCCTTAGGCTCTAGTCGGCATTTGATGTTGTTAATATCTAACTCCGATTAATTCACGATATTACACAACCATCTTCAGTTACTTGCGGTAGATAACTGAACTCTATCAGTCACAGATTGTGATTTTGATTGTATTAGTTAGTATTAACTTCCATACAAACTAATCACATCAATGGATCGTGGTAAATAGCATATATATATATTAAGACTAATTACTTCTATACTATTTTTTAATTTGCTATATTGAACTAATCAACTTGATAACTGTCTATATTTAGAATTTGTTTTTTGATTCTCAAGTAAATTGCATATTAATTTTCACCTTAATTGAGTTACAGTGTAGCATAGTTTTAATAGTTCTCTCTTTCTTTTTGCTTGATAACTAATATATACTTGATGTATTTAAATTAGAAAATTCATTAATGTATTATTATTTATTACGTAAATTGTTCACAATAGATTGGTGTATTAATGGTTTCTTTTTCTCTCTCCCCATTTACTTCGGTTTGCGTAACTGGGCAATTTCAGTTGCCCCCCCTCACACTTTAAATTTGACTCAAAGTCAAGTACATAAGTGTTTGTACCTTGTAGGATAAGTTAACGAATAAATGAACAAATAAATACTGCGCTTTTAATTGTCACTGTTATCTACTTAGAAATAGAATTTTCATTATTATAACTTTTATATCTCTGAGGCAGGGAATCACTTACTGTGGTAGTCTTTTAAAAACCTCATCATGAAAGAATTTGTATCTAAATATTGTAAAATTACTTTAGTCGTTATTGTATACAATGTTTGCTTGTTTTAAAAGCAATATCACTGTGTATGTGTATTGTTGAGTGAAAAATCAATGAATTATTCCTTTTCGTGTACCATTTATCTCACAACATCTTGAAAGAATCTCAAAAAATCCTACTTGAATTGTAACAGAAAAGAAATAAAAATTAGTAATAGTATTATGAACTATCCAATTAAATTATTTAAACTATATAATAGTATGAACAGAAATTTAAAGTATGGGAAACTTCTAGGTCATCGGTTAATAAGAAATTAACATGTTACTATTTAATTAAGCTGCCTCTTGTTAGAATCAGTTCTGACAGGTACGAATTCATATTGAAGTTTCTCCTGTAGAACTGCTTATGATCAGTTAACATTTTTAGTGAATTATAATCAGTTATGTTACTCGAATTTTTCCAAGTCATGATTCGTAGAATCGATTTACTGTTTCATATCTAGATGTGTCCATATTTATACCTTACACAATAATTGTAACTTGAAATCGAAAACACTATTATGTGCTTGCTTCAGAAGTTTATTTTCCTCATAATTTACTGTATAATACAGTGTTAAATATATCAATGTAATAATTTCATTACATTTCCTAATGTTCATACAACTCACTGACATCAGTTATAGGTGTATATGCTCAATTTTGCATCGCATTGTTTATCTGTAATCTACAGTCACTATCGAGTTGTCTGTATTAAATCAAGTAAACAATAGCGGGGTTTGAACCTACAACCTAGTTGACTGAATTAGAAGTGATTTAATCACTATCTTCTACTTACTTAATGTTGTTTTCAAGCATTGGCTTTGTGGTTATGGCGTCCAAATTTCAACCACTAAGTCTCAGATTCAAACCCCTCTCCGCGTACTTCAGTTTAGGCAGCCAAGTAGTACTAGTAGTACCACTAGTCCTAAGTCAGATAGATGAATCCATACTTTACAAATAATTTGACTGCTGCTTAGTGTTGACTAATTGGGTTGTACAATTTTTTAATTATCATTTGTTTGTAAACTATTTCTTTTTAGAAAAAATAATTTATCTTAATGGTTTCATCATGTTTAGCAGGAAATCGTTTATTTGATTTTTATTTTCGTTTTTTATTTTCTTTTTCTAGGTACCAATTAATTCGTCAATTAACAGTACGTTTACTACAATAAATACTACTACCACTACTAGTATCACCTCTACGTTAGATAATAATAGTAATAATGGTAATCATAACAAAACTAATATAGTCCCACTTAATTCCTCGGCAACTGTCCTACCAGCTATACGTCGTCGCCGTCGATTATTCGCACAAAATGGTATTAAACCAATCACAAATGTGATTCAAAGTCCTTTTCTAAACCATACTAATTCCATGAATGATGAGAGTAATAATTCTACTGTGGTGAATTCTACTGGTGATGATGCAAATATTCCAACGGTATCTGATTCACAACATTGTGCAAATGTTAATAATAGTAATGATAATGATAATAATAATAATGATAGCAGTGTTGATAATGATGTTGATGATATTATTAATATTAATAGTGATTCTCTAACAACATGTGACAATGAATTGAAACAATCAGACACTATGCAGGTAAGTCTTTGTTGTGACTTTTTAATCGTTAAGAAATGTTAGTAATCACTTTGCATAATAATGTTAAATGAGATTCAAACGATTAACGACATTATATATCTACTCATCTCACGAAAACTGAAATATATCATGAAATCTTGTGATGCTAGGTGGCTGGAAGTAATGGTCTACATGAATCCCTCAGACCCCATCAGGTTTCATGCTAGTGGGGACTTGTCAATAAGGTGTATTTGAAACCTGGAGAGCATTGATACACCCTGTGAGATTTGAACCCGATTCAATCAGTTTGCCTTTCTAACAGTCATTCACTCAGTCAGTCAGTTACATATAACGTCGAACTCAGCAAATATGTGCACTGAGTTCAAGTTGCTACATCATATCACTACAGGGAGTTGTAAATAGCAAGACAAAAATTACCAGAGTTGTTGAAATGGTCACACTATCAATATTGCCTGACAAAACATTTTATTTGAATGCATCCATTCTGCTTTTGATATCTTGGATATTAGTTTTTTTTAGTTGTTTATTTCTTTCTTACTACAGCTCGATCTTAATCCAATATTATTGGCTAAACACTATCCTAATTTAAACTTCGTTGAATCGACAGGTTACAGCTTTGTATTAGAACTTTGAAAAATGTATCTTGAATCTAATCACTAGTGTGTACGTAAGCACTCGGTTAGTGCTTATTAAGGTGTATTTGTGGATTATTTATTTCTATAATTTGGAAGTCATTTTTATCATAAACTGATATCATATATTCTTCAGTAGATTTGAATCGCATTTCACAGTGTAATCTAAATCTAGGGCTTCCAGGTTTTCGATAGTGGTTTAGCTTAGATTGACTCTTGAATCCAACTGTTATAATATAAGATGCTCAATACATCCTAATGACGACCCAACTCGTTAGATGTACGTTCTCCATCTAAGTTCAAACTTTAACTCAGTACCTATGACTTCCAAACTCAACATATTATCCACTAATTTAGTGAGTCTAATTAGTTATTATCAATAGAGACTGATTAATTCTACTTTTTGGTTAATAACAACAACGGAAAAATACAAGAATATCCCATGTTACCAAATTTTCCACTGCAAACAATTTCAAAACATCCATCGGTTCATTACTACTATAAGAATATAAAGAATTCGCATTGTCCGTTTTTCAATCGTATGTGTATTGACAAAAGTTTAAATCATCCCCCATATCGTATTCTTCCTTCTGAACATTATTCTCTATGTGTATTTGTATTTTTCACTAACTGTTTTTCTCTCTCGATCAGTTGCTTACATCCCATCATATGCCTATATTTATTTATTTGTTTTTTAGTCTACCTCTATCTCCTTTTACCTAAAATTTAGTTGGTTGTTTTGTCTTGTCTTACCTTTGTTTACGCATAAATATTCTTCTCTTTTTCTTAGCTTGCTAAAAGTTTATCAATAGAATTATTTTCCTTGTTTTATGTGTCTTGATCACAGTCATCATATCATCCCTTTCTCGGATAAACTAAGGTTTGTTGTACTAGCAAATTTACCGAAAAGTCATCTATAAACTCAATCAACTTGAGATATTACATAATATAGAAAAGGATGGATTGATTCTTTATGATATTAATATTAACGATAATTCACTTAGTGTCACTATCTTGAAACATCGACTTCGGTGGCTTTGATATGTTCTACGAATGTCGTCCCGGAGAATCCCACGTCGTGTATTATTTGCCGACACTGGTTGGAAAAAGCGGGGAGGTGGTCAGTGTATGATATGGTTGTGACTGACTGATAACTCCTTTAACGTTCAATTATGACAACTTTTTTGATAACCATATCAGTCATATCCTAGAAATCAGATTATCTCTTTCATTTTTACAATGACGTTTGTTTAGAAGAAGTATCGATGGATCTCAGATTTTTCTTATAAAATCTAATCTAACCCTTATGTATCCAAAATAAACATGATGAGTTTTTAATATACACCGAATAGTCGAAGACCCTTTTCAACCACTTAGCCACTATCTCTTTATAATCCACTCTCGAAATGCTCTCACATAGCCACGCGTATATAGCCTCTGCCAGGGAAGTCCTACTCACTGCCTTCTCTTGCCATTACTGTTTACAAAATTGAGAGGACGACGAAAAGTGAATGTCTGGCCCTTCAACCGGTTTGGTGGACACGGAGACTCCACCTAGGGGAGTTGGAAAACCCTCATTCCAAACCAATGCTCCACATGGTCTCCAGAATTCTAAAGAAACGAATAGCGTATGAACCTATTGTTGGTCACCGGCTACCATGGGACTGCATCTCCTTACGATGCTCCATTGCCTTGTGGATTAGACCTTCATGTCGAAGGCTCCGGGTGTGGCTCCCTAAGAAAACCATTTGCTTCAGTTTGGGCACCCGGGCAGTATCACAGCCCTCACAGGAATCAAATGAGATTTGTGTGGCGCATATGTATTTGGTGCCTCCTTGTACCAATATATGTGTTCAAATAATAATAATAAACTTAGGACTTGATATAAGTATATATCAGTTGAAGTTGCTACATGGCCTCCATTTATTATTAACTTTCAATTTACGACTTTGACTGGTAGTAATATACACGAACGTAAACATTGTTACTAAGGTGTTTCTTTATAAGTTTAACTCATTGACTTTGTTATTATTTCACTGTTTCTCATTCATAATTATCATTAAATTTATCGTTCACATTTCATTCACAATAATAATAACTGGCCGTGTTAGTTTAGTGCAAGTGGTTTATGGGGTGGTGACCCAGTTCTAAAAGCATTCGACTTCAAACGTCTGAGTTAGATGTTCGAACCTTTTCCCCACCGATTTCGGTCTGGTCAACCGAACAGTATCATTGGTTTTCACACTTAAAGTGTGGCTTGCAAAGCTAAGTATACACATTTTTACACCTAGTGAATGAGTTAAATTACACAATATACCATCTTTTTTAATATTGTTTTTCGTTTTTTTTCTTCACTCATTTCATTGAATTCAGTCGTACGATAAATTGACCCCTTTTACAAAATCATCAACTACCACAATACTCAATTTCAGGAGCGATACGTTACAACAATCTGTTGAAAGTGAACAATTATGTAATCAGATCTCTACTGATATTGAATTTACGTCTAAATTATCGAAAGAAATGTAAGTTACTTTTGATTTCTTTTCTCTTCTAAGTTTCTGAATATTGGTCCGACATACTTCCTTTTATCCCCAATATTCGGTCGGAAGACAAATATATAAGATAAGACTAAATAATTAACAGGATCATATACTTTAGCTTAATCTGACGTAAATAAGAAATCAAAATTCGGACATACAACTATATCATAGGTAATAAAAAACTGAGGAACAAGTCCATAATTTATTAATAATAGCTTAGGGAAGGCTTAACATACATCAATAGTTATTAAGTTAAATGAAAGCTTATAAATAGGATAATATGAAATTACCGTGAACCGGCTATTTAATAAATACGTAGTATAGACACAATAATTCATCATATATTAGTTTTAAAACTTTCACCTTTCCCAAACATTCTCCAACCCATATCTAACATATTATCTAGTCATATTAAGTTTCATTACGATATGTCTTGAGATCAGTTTGGTTTAGGTCTATGGTAATTTTCAATTACGATTGATCAAGATTATTCTAATACAATTGGGATCTATTTCAACCTTCATAATACGGCAACTAACACATACCGCTTAAACAATAATCCCGGAGCTATATAACCTGAGAAAAATCTATGAGTTACAAAAAAGACTTGATATTTAACAAAATGAAATTGAATTAGAACTGATCTTCACAAAGAGTAACAAAACATAATCTCGTGACAGTAAAATTAGTAAACTGAAAGTGGTAGCAGCCGAACATGAAACAACAAAGGTTATACAGAAATATGAATTAGAAAAAATGTACCCGGATTGATTAGTACAGAAAAGAAATTAATACTCATTAAAAAAACTAGATGATCTAAAATCTTCTTAGTGTATTATTATTTTAATGATAAGTTCTTAATCTAATTTATCTCTCTGTGACGCCTCGGTAATGTGCATCCACGATCCCGCCTCGCGAGATTCGAACCCGGGACCTATCTGTCTCGTGAGCGAACACTTAACCTCTAGACCACTGAGCCGGCCGGCATCCAACGGTGTTAATTTCTAACCTCAACTAATCCACAAAATTGAGTGACACATCCACCATTGTCTTCAGTGAGTTATTATCTTACAGCAGACCCGGTTGAACTCTACTGGTCACTGTTTCTCACTAAAACGTCAGGAAATACTTCCTGAAGCCAGTCACTAGTGAGCATATGTTGATTAATATCAGGTGTATTTCCTGGAGTTTTATTGAAAAGCAGTGACCAGTAGAGTTCAACCAGATCTGTTGTGAAATAGTAACTCACTGAAGACAATGGTGGATGTGTTGCTCAATTTTGTGGATTAGTTGAGGTTAGAAATTAACACCGTTGGATGCCGGCCGGCTCAGTGGTCTAGTGGTTAAATGTTGTTTTATTAACTTCGACAATGCATGTTTAAGTCACGCAATAAATGTAGTCAGACTATTTTTGTTAGATAGGGAGTAATTATTGGAAAGTGTAGTGTGTATATTTTAATCATTTCCCAAACTCAAATGTGAATGTTCTTGTGTACAAATAGGTTTTTACACGGGTTCTAATCAGAAGCAGATACATTGTTAGTAGTTGTAATATCCTAGTCGGTATAATGTATCGAAACACTTACCATTTAACAAGTTGTATGTGAAAATTATATTTGAAATATTCTCAGCGATTGAAATTTAACTAATTCCAACGTTTCGTCCAGCTAACTTGTCTGGACTTCTTCAGGGTAATAATCAGAATCAAAATTATCAAAGAAATACATACCTTTTAACAATCAGGATTATACTGTGTTATAACACAAATATGATTGGTTAACACAGTATATGATTGTTAAAGGCTATATATTTCTTTAATGAGAAGTCCAGACAAGTTAGCTGGATGAAACGTTGGAATTAGTTAAATTTCAATCGCTGAGAATATTTCAAATATAATTTTCACATATAATGATTTAACAAGTTGGTTCTAAAATGTTTAAATCTCACTCCCCTAATTTAATTTGATCAACTAAGCAGTAGCAAGTATACCTCTAGCCTGGACTTAGAAATGTCTCTCATAGTCAAGTACACAAATTTGTACTTGTTTCAATTTTCTGTTCTATTACAAATTCCTACTTACAGTTTTTAAGATGAGATGATAATCTGTACATTAAACAGTAATATTGGTATAAACTGGTTAGTTTTCATTATATCTCGTGAATAATACTATTATTTACTAATATTATTATTACCATTGATTTTTTTAGCCAACAAAAGGATTCAGTAGAGTATGATGATATAACTAAGCTTCCTTCATCATCATGTGCTACTTTTATCAGCAGTTCCTTAATAATGACAACCATAGTGACAACGCAACTAATGCCAACTTTGTCAACCATCAGCATGACATCAAATACAACAATTACTCCTTCACAAATGATTACTACTTCCTCTGCGATCAGCCCAGATTGTCGAACAGTAGCCTTAGATGCAACCAAAAGTCCTGATCTTAATCACAATGTAAATGGTTCAGTTTCTTCAACTTCTCTACCATTTTCACCTTCAAATGCTGATAATAATAATAAATTGGTATACAAGAACTCAGATCTTTTACAAAATGAAAATAAAGTGATATCAGTTGGAAAATATGATGACAAAGAAGCAGCAAAAGATGCCGTTAATAATCAAATGAAATCACCGATCAATAGCACTTTACTAGTAAATAATGATATTGATAATAGTAGTGATCAGAAAAATTCAATTAATGCAAATTATTCAAAATTATTAAGCACAGCTTGTGTTAGTAGTAGTGGTAGTAGTAATAGTATTAACGCTAGTAGTACAACATGTTCTAAATTGAAATCAGCAATAACGCCTTTTGAATTTCCTCCTCCACCTGTAATTATCGGTCCTGATGATCGACGTATATTAACTCATTATATTGATGGACATATTATTTATGAAAGTGATAAACCATTTCCAGTAAGTTAAAAATATATATGTATTTGGCGATCATTTCTTTATTTTCCTTAATGCTTCTGTAATATAATTTGGTTGTAAGCAGAAATGAATGGTGACTAGCAATCGAATCCAGCATGTGTGTTTCGTCTTATTTTAGTTGATTGTTTTACAGTCTAATTTATGGTAATAAGATGGATATCTCTTAAAAGTCATTTCTGAACTATAGTGTCGTGTCTTACAGTTTAATATTCTGAATAAACTATTGTTAACTAGTCAGTTAACCAGTTGTTATTGATGTAAGTAGGACCCTAGGATAAATTTACGTGTCGGCTTAAATTCTCATGGCTTACATCAGCATAGAGAGAAAATTGACAAGAGAAAAAGCGGAAAAGAGTAGTATAATTTACATAGAAAACCTAAGTTGTGGAAGTGAAGTACAAAAAATATAAAATTTGACCAAAGACTAAGGTTGAGAATGGGCACTTAACTTACTGTTAACGCTACTACATCAAATTTCACATCAATAAATGACAACTGTTACATGAACTCTAATCAAGAGTTCTCTGTGCTTACCAATATTGCTCAGCTCAATGATTATTAGCATCATGATCACTACTAAAGTGTTGGATGCCGGCTAAGTGATCTAAAAGTCAACTGATCTGAATCTTCTGGGTTCGATCGTAGATAGGGTCGTAGATTCACACTGCCGAGGGGTCCCATACTAGGACGAAACATGTTTAGTTCTTCCTGTTTTTCAATAGTTTCCCAACTAATATTAGTCCTTATTGTAAACTATGAAATAACTTCATAGACTAATTTTGCTCATTCGTCGGATTTTTTTTCTAGCATTGCTTGTCACCCTAGATATAGACTATGGATGTATTACCCATGCCTTAATCATGTCAATGAAGATTAATAGCTTCATCAATAGACTTTATCATTTTATTCAGAAAAATCTACATATTTTATTGAGTTAGTAAGCGAATGTTATTCTTTTGTTCTAAGTATTCAGAAATAACCATTTCACCATCTTAATACCTTTATGCTATAACATACTGTGAGTGATACCTACACTAGAAGATTCTTTTTAACTTTATCTTCATCTACTTCCTGCTTTTGTCAATTTACTATTAACTGTTAACCAATCAAGTGTACGATTTTCATCCACCAAGTCACAGTATCGAAAGCCACTACACTTAATACAGTTTGAGCATCTGGATGATAAGAGTATCACTTGCCATCATATCTAAAGTTTGTCTCAAAACTAAGTACACGAATTTGTACCAATAGTAACTAATAAAGCGATCGGTAAATGATATTTCGAAATTACCTATCAATCTTTTCAACCAAGGAATAGTTGATCGTTTAACCGATTAAATCCCTCAAACAAGTATTTTTAAATTTTTATACATATTATTTGTATCTCGAACAATTGAAGACTAAAATAGATTGTTAGTGATAGTAATAATTGCTTACCTTAACGTATACAATCGATCATAATCGTATTTATTTATGTGTCATGTAATGCTCTTATTTTTGTTTCCTTTTATTTCATTAGGTGAAAAATGGTATGATAGTGGTTGAAACAGCTCTTATGAAACAGCAACAGTCTTGTGTAGTCAGCTCTACCAATTCACCACTTAAGACTTTCATCATGAATGGTTATGAAGACAGAATAATGAATAATATCAAATCACCTACAACTCCATCTTTCTCATCATTGAAAACAACAGCTGTAAAACCTGTTGATAACTGTGAATCCGAGGCGTTTATAGCTACTTCTTCATCTAGATTACCTATTCAAGATGTTGGTGGCTGTGGTAGTAGTTGGATTAACCCACTGAAAGTGTCAAATTCATCATCACTGTCTATTGTAGACAAGTATACGAATCATCCAGGATCAATTGTTACGTCTAATTCCCCCTGTATGTTGTTACATTATGAAACTCGACGTCGTAAACCATCCAATGAACAACCATTGTACAACGATATTCATGATGAAAATGACTGTAAGTTTTCTTCTTTCCTCTAGCTCACATTTGTTTGCCTCATCAGTAAATAACAAAATTAAATGATTTCAAACGCAGTACATTTTAGTGAAACAGTAAGGATGAACCTTGTATACTGTTAGCGCTATGAAGGTTAATAGTGATCTCGGTTATTATAAAGAGGAATCGTAGTCAAAAGGAATAGCTACTTGTAGCTAGTCATATAAATGACGTCCTTATGAGTAGTTTATTGTGTGCTAGCTCTATTTTCTTAACGCCTCATCATGGGTATCGGATATCTATGAGGAGTGACTATATAAGCTATTGTATTGAACAAAATCATACACTGTATTTGTAAAATATGAAAACAATAGATTGAATACACCATTTGCATGCCTTCCTTGAATTGTCTCTTACAAATTCCATCGCCCTTCCATTCCTGTTGCTACTCGGACTTTATTTATTTATTTATTTATGTGAACACAAATATTGTTACAAAGGGGCACTGAATACATATGCGCCACACAAGTCACTTGATTTGTGTATGGGCTATGATACTTCCCGGATGCCCAAACCGAAGCACGTGGTGTTCTTGGGGGCCACACCCTGAGCCTTTGGCCTCAAGGTCATGGAACAACGTCAGAAGATGCAGTCCCATGGTAGTCGGTGACCAACAATTGATTCTCACGCCATTTGTTTCTTCAGGATTCTGAAGCCCATGTGCACCCTTGGTTTGGAATCAGGGTTTTCCGTATCCCCTAGGTGGATCCTCCATATCCACCAACCCGGTTAAAGAGCCGGTCATTCGCTTTTCTTTTCAATTTCGTAAACAACAGTAATACCACGAGAAGGCAGTGAGTAGGACTTCCCTGGCAGTAGCTTTATACGCATGGCCATGTGAGAGCATTTCTTGAGTGAGTGCTGACTCTCCTCACCCTCGGCCTCTTGTTTCTCTGCATAATTAACACACAAGGTGGTACTAGACTACATTATTGTTTGATTTTTAGTTCATTTTCATCACCGTTTTTAACATCAAATGAAAAACCACTGAAAGATCAAGAAGCAGTGGACAGTTGTTTCACTTTAAAACCAGGCGAGTGGTTGAAAACGCAAAACGTTAGACCTCACTCTTAGAATCCTATGATCCGTATTCTCTAATTCAGTCAATTTTCTATCCATAGCATGACATCATCCAGTACCGTTGATAGACGATTACTAGACACTGCTTTACTTGGTTAAATTGTACCAGCTTATTATTTCTCACTAGAACTTCGGTAGTTCATCTCTCGAGGTCAGTCACCAGTTAATGAGCTTACAATTAATGTTTGGTTGAGGCAAGTTAGTGAAGATTAGTTTCAAATGATGACCATTAAAATTCATTAATGATTTGTTTAAATTCATTTATTCATTCCTAGCATCAAAAACCAATCATTATCATCAACCCACACAAGGAATTTTAGCATCATATCCCCATTCTACTATATTGTCTTTAGCTAATCGTAATTCGGCTAGTGTGGTTTACACTCAATCACCAATTGTATCAATTCCTAGTCGAAATGATAGACAATCATCTTCTGATATGAAAGGAGGAAATGAACCAACTGTCATAGATGGTAAATCAATTGAAAGTTATTCACATCACTCCTTGATCTCACAATATCAGAACACTGAATCTTCAATATCGCTTAGCAAACCATTAAATGAAATCCAGTCCAGTTCTGGAGTAAGTAAAACTAAAATATCTATTTTCCTTATCGAATCTTTACTTTATAACTACCCTCTGTAGGTATTATAACTTACAATACATGACATCATAGTTCATAATTACTTTTTTCAGCGGTGTTTAATTCCACAAAATAATTATCTTGCCCGTCAACATGATGATTTTTATTTGTTTTTAGTTTAGTAGTGTATAATCCAACGTTTAACTGTTTTTATGATTTGCAATTTCATAAGTAGATTTGGTTTGTTGTTCACTAAAATGAACGATAGTTAAAATACAATGATACATGGCTTCTGACTGATGACTGTTTACGAGAACTTTTTATTTGTAAAAACTCGTTTTCCCCTCACTATAAATTGAATTGATATCAGATGACAAGACAACTAGTTGCTCAGTAGAATAGGTGTATTCCTAATAAAATAATATGCTCATGAACAAAATATTTGTTAAACGAATAAATGAGATTGATGGAAAATCAAATTTGTAGGTAGGTAGGTAGGTAGGTTACTTGCGTTTTACCTTAACCATTGTATTGATTACAACACTCATATTTTGTTTTACGAGCAACTGTTTCATGTCGGTCCACTTTTTCTATGATTAATAATACTAAAAGAGTGAAAGCAATAGATCCAATCAGTAAGTGAAAACGTTATTCTCTTCATTATTTCAAATAAGACTATTATGTACCATATAATCATATAAACGGTAATGGGAACCAGTAAAAAAATCGGTGCCAAGTGTTTAATAATAAAGATTGAAGTTACTTTTACATTACTGGAATAATTCAAGAATAATGTTCATTACATAATAATTCCATTTAAAGATGAAATGAAAACTAATAAATACTGAATAAGTGTTTTATTTTGCCACTTTTATTCTTCAATATTCATCATTCATAAAAGAATAGAATTAGATTTAATAAAGATGTGTTCGGTTTGAAATACTGGGGAGTTCAGTATTTGAGGATTTTTCTCTTATCGGATAGTTCGAAAATAAGTGAACATGATTATTTATGTTCCATATGTGACAATGTAACTGTGAAACGAGTTGCTATCTCGATTTATTAGCTAAGTAGATAGTGCATTAAGATTTGAAACGAAGTTGCTGCATTCGAATCCAAATGTGAATGTTAACCTTGGAGTACATCTGTTTGATGAGTCTTAAGTAAGACGAAACGTGAACCGTAGATACAAATATTAACCACAGTTCTTATATCCTAAAGAAATTCGAATTGACCATTTAAATACTGTAGATGTGACATGCCAATTATCATATATCTATGTTTTCTTTGTAAATTTTATACAAAGTGAGAATGATTGACTGTATTCAGGAGACTTTCCCAGGAAAAAGTAAGGCCAGAGTAGTACATAAACATCTTTTCATACTATCTTTAACTCTGTTGCCCCAGTAACACAGATTCACACTTAAACCCAGTGACATTTAATGAGCACAAATAATAAGTATTATATATACTATCCCGACGAGAATATTGAATGGTAACTGTTTGGATCTATTTATGGACCAATACTATCCATATGTTTTTATTGTATAATTGTTAAGAAGCTAAACTATACATATTCATGTGCCTATTATTACAAGCTTTATTTTGACCCATAGACTATTATTATACCGTTCTTGAGTTATGCCCAGTCTATTAGCTACATTCTTTCACATTCACAGCCACTTTTAGCTAGATCTTGCACAAATGTTTTTTTCTATTTTGTAGTGCGATGTAGTCTGTTTGGTTTGTATATAAACCCAGTATATTTGAAATAAATGATTCGTATAGTAGAAGCTGCTATTGGTGTTCTGGACTCAACAGTCAAGGCTAGGCAGTAAGAATGACCGTTAGGGACTCTAGACTGCTCGTACGAGTTTATGCGTCATTGATTTGGTCGATAAGTCACTGTTCAATAATTGGCGATATCATTACGTTATATATTAATAGGGCAAAAGTTATTATGTATATAGGATTATAGAGTTACATACATAGGTTGTTATTCAAGTTTAATATTAGTATTTTGTTGATCTTTTTTTACTTAATTCTATTTTAACAGATTATGACTGGATTAACTTCCACTGCATTCAATCAATCTACATGTCAACAACGAACACCAAGTATTGCCCAAGCAATGTATGGTATATCTCAAACAATTACACCATCACCTGGACTATTAACACCTAATCCACCACCGAAAGGTCCAATATATAAATGGACTCCTGATGATGTTGTTGCATTTGTTCGTGGTACACCTGGTTGTGGAGCATATGCATCGGCATTTTTAAATAATGAAATAGATGGTGAAGCATTATTATTATTAGCTGAAGATCAATTTATTCAACCACCGATTGGTATGAAAATAGGACCAGCACTAAAATTAGTTGCACGATTAGAATCTTTAAAGAATTGTTGTTGATGACATTATTTAGTTGGATAACAATCCGGAATCTACACATAGACACAGATTTATTTCTATACATATATTTTATGCTGACTTATTTAAACTTGATACTCTTAATTTAAGTTATCACCTCTCTCTCTCTCTCTCCATTGAAACAGTACACTCTTCTTCATTCTATATATTTATATTTCTTTCCGGTGATATTTATCATTCAATGTATGTAAACTTACATCAGTTTCTCATTTGACTTTCTTTTTTTTTCCACAACATAGAGCATTTAGCCTAATCAATCAATTCATAAATCATATATTACTATTATTATTATTGTAAATAAGTAAACACAGCAGAATGATGAACAGATAGTGCTTTGTTCTCTTTCTATCTATCTGTATGTATAAGTGGCAGCAGTATTATCTGGCATCAATTCATAGATGACAATGACGTAATGATATTCATCTATTTCAATTAATAATTCACTTGTTCTTATTGTTTATTTGTAAAAGTATTTATTCACTGACTATTATTATTTATTATTACTGTTTTACCCTGTTGTTGTCGATTGTTACCTTCTTCAATACAATAATTTCATATATCATGTATACGTATATTCATTAAATAAAATTTGTTTTTATTACTGAATGTTGTCTTTTGCAAGTTGCCAATAACGAATAAAGAACACAGATAGAGAAGACCAATTTATTATTTTCTGAAGAAACTACAGAGTGCTTTAGTAAAATACAAAAAAAATCATACATTCAATACATTATTTGCACATCTTCCATTAGTTGTCTTTTACAAACCCCATTATTCCTTCATTCCTATTATTATTTTGATTGCTCTCAGTTTTCTTTCTTACTTCTTTTCATTTCAATCTTCTGTTTGCAAGTATTTCACTTACGATTGGTGCCACATACTACTTATATCTATCAACATAAGTAACATACACCATATATATATATCACGTTTGCGAAAGATCACTGGAGATGATATATCCATGAGGTCATTCTTTTTATATCCCAATAATACTGTTGTATTTTTTTAAACTAATCGTTGAAGAAGGTATACTTCACTGATGAATCAGTGGGATTCATCATAGCGGTTATTGGAATTTTGCACGGAATTCAAAATGTGATGATTAGTGTATATCTTAATAAGAGCTAATAGTTATTAAGACGTGACAATTTTTCACGAAGAAAATAGTAAGATATACATATGGTTAATATGTATACAAAGTTTCCACGTGATTTGTGAATTCCCCAAGGTAACTTAAAGGTTTTTGAGATTTGAAATCGAAAAACTATCAGTGTAAGTATAACTATGAGACAGTTCCCCACTGTGACTCCAACTCCTAATTCTAGCCTTGTTTTTGTTTATATGTAGTTGTTAAGTCCTTGATTTGTCTACCCACTGATAACTTGTCTCAATCTAGATTAAGACCTTGATGTGACAAGCTGAGTGGTTTAACTTTGATACTAGTATGCGTAGATTCGAAGTGAGAATAACTGCTTGGGGTAGAGAGACGAAAACTATTCTATCAATTGATTGGGTGATAAGCGGCCTCGAGAGAGAAGGCGAGATAACTGGAACATTACTCGATTTATTCCCAATTCTGATCTCGCTCAGATTCAGATTAGTGTAAAAAGGTACATGAATAAATAGATGTTTAACAAGACCACAATGTACAAACAATTAGGAAAATACAATTACGTCCAAAACTGGGGATTGGGATAGAAAATAGAGAATAAAAGATTGTGTTTAAATTGCAATAGCTTTGGAACAGATAAGGCTATGGCAGTGAACCACACATCAAGCGAAAGCTTATGGTCTAGAATAAACTAGGGAAAAGAATGAATGTTACTTTTTTTACAAGCTTTGAATTAAATGAAGTAACGTCCCCAAAAATAGCTTCCGTAGTTTGTCATAGCTTCTTGTTTCTCTGTTCACATCAGTAGTGAACTACTCACTCAAATTACTTGCATCCTGATTGCCTTTACTTTTTCAGGGTCATTTAAAGTTCGTCAGTTAGATATACTTTTACCTTTTTTAGAAAGAAGAATGAATCTAACTTATTGTACTTCAACATTTTAGACTGGCAATCTGATAGTAATTACAATGAAGTTTTCCTTTGTGAATATCCCTTGTCCATAGATCATTATCATACTACATCATTTAACTGCTAAACATTTAAGAAACGAAGTCAATTATAATATTTGAAAAATCATAATGGTCAGAATGAAAGCATATTAAACAACACTTGATAATACAGAGGAAAGCGCTCGTTAGCATATAAGAAACAAAAGTAATTGACTTGAAAAATGAATGAATGGTTGACACTAGACATTACCAAAACTATATAAAGTTCGAGTGTTAAGTTTGTGTGATTGTAAATGCCTCAGTAAAGTGAAATGTATCCTGGAAATGGTTGAAATTTCCTGTACTATTCTGTCATTGATTAAGTTGTACTCACTCAACAATTCATTTCCATCTATCGTTCTTCTTGTCTGTAACTTGAGTGTTGTATTTCGTTCATACATGTGTGAAATTTGGACACTGCGTTCAGTTATTTGGTATTCTGTGTTTCAGTTCACCACAATGGGAAATAATACTGCAACTAGCTGATTTCACTCGTTTCAGTTATTTCAAAATTGCCTGTATTCTCACATTTGGAAACAAGAGAAATTACCAGTAATAAGTAACCGACGAGCCTCATTTTTGTGAGACTGCATCAATGATGGCGTCTAGTATGAAGAATATCCCTAGACAGCTAAAACCAACTGTTAAGGACCTATTTTATGTCTAATTCTGACCATCCCTAGTCTTTTTCTATTCAACTACTACGCTAGTAAATTAACAGGTCAAACCGCATAGCAATTCTGTAATTAAATCACAAGTTCTAGACATCTAAATCGATAAGGTTTTGTCACCATTTCTTAGCACTTCTCTATTTCGAACATTAGCACCACCACTCCCCAAAGTTACCTAGGATCGAATATTTGGAGTCTAGTCATGTCTGGTAAATCTGATGAGTGTTTCGGTAACCTTTGCAGCTTATACTTGCTTTTATCTACTTTTAGACAGCCATGGTCACAGGTGCAGATTATTGTAACAAATAGTTGGAGACGTTGGGTAATATGGCTTAGAATCAGTCACAATACCCTGAATAGATTCACTCTTCATCTTCCTCTAGACGCTGACATTGTTACTACTTCTACAGCTCTGGGATTTTATCTTGGCAATCTTATCTCTCTGTGCAGATATGAAGTAAGGAAATGAAATGAAGCATATGTGTCATGCCAAACGCTGCTTATAATAGAATGACTCAGACTATGCTTTAAAAAGTATGTTGTTTATACAATCCAGATAACGGAACATCACTAAGCAATATGTAGTGTACTGTCCTGAAAACTGTCTATAAAATGTTAACACATGTAATTTCTATTACTTAAACAAATCACATGGTGCAAAAGCTATAAGCTAAACAAAACCGATTGTTAAAGTTATAAGTGATAGTATTTCTGAAATATTTATTCATCATCATACAGTACTTGTTAAATTCTTTTTTTAGAAAGAAAAAGAGCATTATATAAAGATAAATACATCTTTTAATTTGATTGGATAGTTTTAAGTAGAGTCCCTCCGACGGCTAGAAGTTGTAAATATTCATCAGCTCCATCAATTAGTCGAGAATCAGCAACCTAAAGAGTTTTTTTTTAACAAAAAAAATAAATAAATAACTTTTTAACAAAAGAATAACAATTAAAAACAGTGTTGGTAAGTTCTCTAATTCTAAAATAATGTCAATAAAATATTCGTTATAGACTGAACAAAATTGAAAATGATCAAGAATCAAAATAATGATCCGCTGTGATAAATGTCACTTTAAAATATGTTATGAATCCTAGTCTTTACAAACAACTAAATTATATCACTTATCCTTTATATGTTAGATTTTTGTATGTGTCAAATTGGTCATAAATTCTGTAATTGTTTTCAGAAAATAATTAGTTTTAGTAGTTAAAGTCAAGAACTGATTGCAGCTAGATCATCGTTGAAAACCTGGAAGTAACATACGGTCGTTTCGTCTTAAACCAAACTCCCTATACTCATAAGAATTTTGTGCTTACTAGTAACTAGCTTCAAGATGTAGTGAGAAGCCGTAACCAGTGGAGCTCAGCCATATCAGATGTGAGTCAGTTATCCGACGCAGACAATAGATGAAGAGTTGAGCAAGATCATGGTCTAATTGAAGTTCAACATTGAGGCCGATGGACCCTGACTCAGTGGTTTACAGTCTAAGCGTTCATGCGCCAGACTGAAGGTTCTCGGACCGATTCACGAGTGTAGGATCGTAAATGAGCATTGCTGAAGATTCTCATACTAGAAGGAAATGGACTTCAAGTCCTTCAAGGTTTCTGATAATACTTTAGTTAAGATTAGTTCGTGGAAAAAGCTATGAAAATTCTACAATCTTTACTACGTAACACGTGGCCCAACCATCTCAGTCAACGAAGATTCACAACCTCATCAACTGATTTACCATCACTTCCCAATGCCCTATGTTTAACCTCATTATTACTTAATCGGTGATCCCAGCAGATGCGAACAATATTTCTAAGACATTTGTGATCAAATACTAGTGGTTTACGAGTATCTTCTACTCTTAATGGTCATGTTTCCCAGCCGTAAAGTAAACCAGAACGAACTGTCGCACAGTATGCTCGTCGTTTTATTGATAGACGGATATCTCGCCTTCGCCATAGGTGACGTAAGGTGGCAAAAGCCAAGCGAGTTTTACGAATACGTGCTGAGATTTCGTCAGACACCAACCCATCAGGGCTGATCAGACTTCCAAGATAAGTGAAGTTGTCAACGCGTTCGACTACTTCACTCCCTATCCTTAGTTCAGGTGTTGACGCAGACCAGTCGTTGAGCAGCAGCTTGCATTTAGAGGGAGAGAAGCGCATCCTAAACATTCTGGCATTGTTGCTCAGTGCTATCAAAAGACTCTGCATTTTATCATCGTCTTCACCAAACTGGACTATGTCATCTGCGTATTCTAAGTCTACAAGTAGATCTCCTGAAAGGAGGTCAATGCCCTAGAATTCAGTAGGTCTATGATGAAGTTAAACAGAAATGGAGAAAGTGGACAGCCTTGACGGACACCACTTGAGTTTGCAAAAGCAGATGACAGTTCGCCATAAGCTCTAACTCGACTAGTAGTATTCGAGTAAAGAGCCTTCACAAGGTTTATGTACTTCTGAGGTGCGCCTGAGGTACACCGTCGAAGGGTTCTTCTGGAGGTACCTGAAAAGGAAATTGGATTAGAGGTGGTCTTAGTGACCTGAGAGCGTGACCGCAGTGCCCAAGGGACAACTGCCTAAGGTCGGTCACATACGACCTTTTTATGGGTAATTTTGTGTTAGCTCTGTAATTGTTGAGACCTTACCGCCGGAGACGGATATCCGTGGGATAAGGCGAGGTGTGCATTTTTATGGTCGACCTTTTCTAACCTCATACCTCCTTGTGGGAAGGCAGCATCGCTGTCATGCTGGTTGTCTGAAGGAAACACCTTACTGCTGTCACACCTCTGTACAGTCAGCAGTACGGTTTCGCCTTCAGACCTATTTTTTTACTG